CACGACCATCCGAGGGAAAACCATAGAGTTTTCCCTTGGATGACCATGGCCCCGCCCCCAGCAAGCCCGGCATGGTCGCATCACTTCTGGGTGACGCGCACGTCGGGGTGGGGCTCCCCCCAGGGCCCGATCCGCCACCGGCGGGGAACGGGCCTCTGGGGCAGGGGTTTCCCCGCCCCCGGGGGGACTTGGCAAGCCTAGTGTGCCCCTACTTTTGGAGACCAGGCAGGTAGTTACCAGGCACAGAACTGTCTTGGTGCTAGGCCCAGGTTCTGCAGTAGCTTTCCTGGAGGTTTTGCTTGACTCCCATTCATTGTTAATTTCAGTACTGGGTTTAAATCATTTTATTTGAAAGGGTTTTTAATGGCAGATAGAGTCTTCTGCTATATATTTCTTACCAATTTATTCAGCTCTGGTTATATTAATGTATGTGTTTACTGTGCATTGCTGCTTTCCCAAGATTTTATTTTCACTCTTCTGTTAGCCACCATGTAGGTTGCACAGTGGTAAGGCAGGATACAAATATGTTAAATCAATTGGGGCGAGGATTTCTAGTTGTCAAGGGCAAGCCTTTGGTGATGTCCTGTTTAGATCCTTGCCCATCTCCACAGGGAACAAAACAAGAATCAATTATGCAGAGTAGTACAAATTGCAGGCTCAATTATGCAAACTAAGAGAAATTATGTAAAACGTGATTAATTGCTAAATTTATGCGGATTATAAAATTGAATTTTTCTGGCACGTGCACAGAGCCACACTTATGACTACCCCCCCTTCCTCTCACTCTGTGCCAGTTACTGATGACCTCTGTAGAAAAGCTTGAGAGGTAACAAGCTCTCTGACACATTAAATACAGCTGTCACCACCTGGAAGGTGCATTCAAAAGTGTGAAACTGATGAAGTAAAGTCACCTTGTGCTGACTTCACCACATCAAAAAGTAACGTCTGAATTAGCCATCAATCAAGTGGGGGAGAAGGAGTAGCAAACTGGGGCTAGCAAGATCTGCACTCCACAAGCTTCAGACAGCCTGGGGGTCCTTTTGTGAGAGATCTGTAATTTATTATAGATTTTCCTATTATCTTTTAAATTTCTAGTTCTTATGTTTCTGGAGACAAGTATGAGAATGTTTGTTTGGCTCCGTAGTCTTTGGGTCTTTTTCTTCAGTTTTTAAACCCACCTTGTTTCAGGGTGGACCCATTTGGTACTCTACTGATAGGTGTGGAGACAGTGACGGTGGGTTAAAGTTTTTTTTTAAAACATATTTTTATTGGATTTTCACCATAATGCACAAATCAATAATGGTTTACCATAATTCATATCATCCCATTAACACCTTATACAACCAATATACTATACTGAGCAGCAACAGCACCAACAATGATCATTATTCACTTCCCCCCCTTCATCTTATTCATCCAGTAGCCAATTCTCAAATAGTAATTACATACATCCATTAATATTCACTTTAAATCTATAATTTGTTATTAAACCGGCCATCTCCCTTTAACAGCCTTACTTTCTCAACAGACAATACTAAAGAGTTACCTACAAGTTACAGCATATCTATAATTTTTAACATTTTATCTTATTTTAAATCATTTTTATTTTATTTATATACCTATTTTTCTCAGTTTTTTAAATATTTCCTTATTTTTCTTGTTTACCCCCCAGCTATTCTAGCCAGGATCGTCTTTATAAATTTTTATCTTGACTCACTGCTGCAACCCTTCCTTTTCAAGTATTTTCACACTTTAATAGATAACCACCATCCTAATCCCTAAGCCTATAGCTCACAGAGGCACATATACCACTACTAAGACCCTTCTATAAACACACATTTTTAAGGCTATAATTTATACCTTCCTGATCTTCTACTCACATTAATTTTAACCTTTTACAAAAATGGAGAGACAAAACAAAAAGAAACAAAAAGAAAAACCCATAAAATACAGTAAAAAACTTTCATACTAATTAATCATATATTTTAAGACTATCATTCATACCTTAATAGCAATCACTTCAATTCATTCCATTTCCCCCCCATTTTTCCCCAATATCAATTCATTTCATTTCCAACGTAAGCTCAAAATGCACAATATAACTAATACCTCTTTCTTTAACACACTTTTCCCACTGCCATATATATTATTCATTCATTCCATTTCAAGAAGAAACGAAAAAACATATATAACATTACCAACACTTAATACCTTAACACACATATTCATACCTTAATGAGTCTCCAATCCAAACCATTTTTCACCCAACTCCTAATAGCATAAACTACTAACGCCTTACTATATTACTTCATCTCCCTTATGATTCTTACTTTAGTGACCCTCTAATCATAATAACTCATTCCATTCTGCCCAGTTATCATATCAATTCATTCCAATTCCATCAAAGACCAACACCACGCATAAAACAAACTTTCATATATTTTAAATCGTCTTTTGTATCTCTGAAGCCTTTTCTTCTGAAGCACCATTTCCAGATGGTTTCTCCCCTTGTAGATGTAGCAAGTCACTTTTAATCTCTCCTCACCAACTCTCCTCCGTTCACATTTCCAACTCGTACCGTTCTTTTTTACTTTCCACACCAATCCTCCCTGTCTCTTTCCTCTCCATTTTTCTTTCTTCTTAACAGCGAGTCACAATATTTTTCTTCTTATTATTCCTATCTTCAAATACCTCTCTTTGGGTGTCTTTTTCTTCCCTCTTTTAGGTCCTTTAATTTCTTTTTCCTGCGGGTAAATAGAAGTCTCTTCCAAACATTGCCTGCTTTGCTCCGTTTCCTCTCCATTGCGTAGGGTCGGGACGGAGAGACCGACGGGGGAAGGGCGCGGCTCACTCTCCAGCTGGGAGTCATGGAGACTTGTAAACGCCCGTCTGACACCCTCCTCTATTCCCTCCTTCAAAACCAGCAAAAATTGTTCAACCAATAATTGCACTATTAAAGTGTCCTCATTTGTTTTCTCCTTTACAGACGTCATTTTCTTAATTTGTTCCAAACCATTAGTGTCATTTATTGAGCAGCCGAGAGAGTAAAGCAAAAATCTAGCTGAAACAAAAGAATCCTCGTTTCCCCACGCATGTGCACACTCCTTCCTTCTCACTTTTTCGGCCGCTTTTTCTTTTTCCCCTCTCTCGGAGTACTTTCCAATTTTTATACTTGAAGATGCATGCACTTACAGTTCTTTTATTTTCCTGTTGCTTCTATTATAATCCCCTTGATTTTTAAGGTAAAAAAAGGGTGGTGGCGGCTAAGGGGAAACATGGCGACCATGTCCCTCTCTCTATCCGCTCCAGCTTCAGGGCAAAAGGTGGTCACTCCCCGCGTTGCCGATCGCGGGAGGGGCCACTACAAAGCCCCCTGCTCCAGCTCTCTCCAGGAGAGCTGGTCGAGTGCTCCCGCACATGGGAGCCCCAAATGGAGCGGCAAAGAGTCGGGTGTCTTCAGCCCGAGCCGAAAACTGCCCGTCGTCGCGCCATGCCGACCGGAAGTCAAAATAGGCTATTCAATTCTCCTGGCCTAAAGTAGGTTTTTTAATGAGTACCTACATGTCCCCCCCCCCCAAATAGCTCGCAATCCAAAACAGTCCAGTGGAGCCTGAGCAGTGGGTGTTGCCTTCTGACACACTTCTGGTGATGCCAGGGGGCGTGGCATATACAAATTAGTTATGCTAATGAGGTTCTGCACCTCTTTTTCTACGAAATGACCCCTGGTCACACTACTTCTTTGTGGTCTCTGTGCAGATCAGAACATGTATACCCATAGGGAAGGATCTGCATCTCTCCATTTAGTTCACCTTTGTCTGCCACCGCAGCAGCAGTATGGATCAGGAAATTCTTCTTGGACTTTGTTCCCTCAGAGCTAGTTTTTTTTCTTCATCTGTTTTTAAAAAAATTAATTTGTTGATTTAGAGATTTGTAGCCTCACTAGTTAGTGTTAATAGTTTTTCTTCTCTGTGGTGCTGAGGCACCTCTAGCAATAAAGACTGTTTTTAAGGGCTGTTGTAGCCCAGAAGCAAATTTCCATTGTGGGAGCAGCACAAAGTAGACTGTTTGCCAGTGCCAAAAACGTTATCAGACAGACTTATCAGCAGGCCACTCTTTAGGAAAGAGCCCTCATGACCTCCAAGGAAATAATGGACTCATTTTCCAAGTAGCCTGTTCCCTCATCCATCTATCAGCATTTGGAAAATGATACCCATTCCTTGACCTCCAGTGCACTGAAATGTGACAAAAGAGAAACAAATAACCAGATTTAATCAGTTAAGAGAACACAGACTGGTTGGGTGGGAACAAGACCTTCTGTATAAGCCCAGGTTGCTTTCTTCACTAGTCTTGGGCCATGCCATGGTTTTCAGGTGACTTCCGGTGATAATAGTCCCAAGCTTTGATGTTGCAAGATGAACTCATGCTCTTCTCTTGCCCTAGTAACAAAACCCCCTTGCACGTTTTTACTGTGGGGGAGGGATGCCCTTTAGCTGTTCAGTTAAACAGTTTGTATTTTGACTCACTGTATTTTTCGTGTGCATAGACTATTCATGAATTAGTGACGAGCAGCTATGGACTACAAAGCGATTTAGCTTAGGAATATGATGAGTGGAACAATGTTTCTTTTGTATCACAACGACGTTTGAGTCCAGTGGTGCTTTTAACACCAACAAAGTTTTATTCACGGTGTAAGCTTTTGTATACAAGCATACTTCTTCAGATACAGAAGTCTGCTGCTTCAGACCAACACGGCTATGCACCTGAATCTGTCTCTTGTATCACGGTTTAGGGTGCTTATTGTTCAGTTGTGTCCCAGGGTTATAAGAATGATTGATATCACCATTCTTTCCTTACTATGAATGAATTTTCTAATATTAAAGGTTGGAGATGTTCAACATTTCTTCCTGTAGGCCAGTGCTGTAGATGGGTACTTCTCTCAGCTAAAGTTGGGAGTTTGGCTTGAATGGACTCTCTTTATAGGTTGGGAAGTCTCTGATAGCTCAACTATGACTGTGCCATATTTAACCACCTTGTTATGACTTTCATAGATTTTTGAGTTAAGGCTGAAAATGTCAGGAGTTGGAAGTAGATAGTTCAGAAAAATAGTATCTATGGTGAAAAGTCTAAAGTTGTATTTGTGTGATGATTTTTTTAATGTTTGAATTTGCCTTTTTATTTGTTTAGAATGTAATTAGCCAAAAAAAGAACAGAAATGGAATTTTACACCTTTGGTGGATAGGCAGGTTCAAAATAATTTATGAATAAAGGATACTTATATTTTTTAAAATGGCTTTATATTTATGCACAATTAAATTTCATGTTATTTTCAAGGGATGGCAATTTACTATTTGAAGCTGCCAAATTGTTCTTTCATATTTTGTGATTTGTGGTTTCACTTGAGAAAATATGCTATTATAGTGGATTTGGGAACTTGCTGCTCAGTTGTGCCACTTCTTACATGAGCCTATCTCTTGCTCCATTTTCATGGTGAGCGCAGAGTTCCCAGTGCCAACAGAACCTGGAACTCATCCCTGGCACTGCACTAGGGCAACGGCAGTCGTTGTCACTGCTATGTAAGCATTCAGCCAAGTCTCTCTGTGTACCATCTATGCTGTGCAAGATCTTCTTTCAGGTTCCCAAGAACTGTTTCGTTTGGCTTTCCTAGTATTAGCACAAGGCTGCATTAATATTTCTGTGTTTTAAAAGGCACCTGATTACAGAGCTGAGGGGGTTTCTAGTTAAATCTATTCTTCTGCTGCTCTATAGTGCTATTTAGCCTGATACAGTAAAACAGCAGCATAAAATCAAGCTGAGAAAGTGATACAGTTCATCTCTTGTTCAGTTCAATGTACAAGTAAAAGCTGAAAACTCATACGCTCTTGAAACTGAATCAGTTGTAATGAAAAGAAAGTATGTGAAATGATGAGCTGTCACCTTTTAAAGCTTTTAAGTTCCGTTTGCAGACTAGAATTTTGTGGCATCTTAAACTATTTGTGAACAGGGAACAGGCTGATGAACATTAGATCAACAAGCATACCATTAAAATGTTATGTCTACCTTAAATTTTCTGTTTGTTATACTAGATAATGCATTCATTTTGAGCTCAACCAAGCATCCGAGCTGTATAATGCATGTGGATATGGACTGCTTCTTTGTGTCAGTGGGTATTCGAGAGAAGCCAGATCTAAAAGGTCAGTAAACTATACCAAAATTTAGTTGCTACCGAGGAGCCATTGTATATGTTAATTGTGTCTGTTAACTGTGCATTGATTGGCATGACTAAGCTTTTGATCTGAAAAATAGTATGTGGGTACCACTATGCCTTGCAGGTATTTCAAGTAATGCATTGCAAATAACATAGAGGTCTGCTATTCAGTGCACGGGGTTTAAACAATGAAAATACAAGGTTTTTCCTCCCCTGTTGGCAATTAAAATGAAAAAGAGTACTTTTTACTTACATTTTGTAATTGTGAATAATTAGCTGTATTAAAACGTGTATGGACTTCTATATTTCCAGAATAGATTACTTGTTTGTTTTATTTATAAAACGTGGTGCTTGATGAAAACCTATGTAAAGTGATTTACAAAGGAATTCAAACCAAAGAATGTAAACATGTAAAACCATATTAAACCGAATATTTTAACAGTTAAAGCCAGAGCCAAACATTTATCCACAGCTGGCAAAGTCTTTCAGAGTGAGAATCAAACGTATTCACTTACTTATGACAGATATAGGAAAAAAGTATCTGCAAACAGGGATCCCTCATGGTGCAGGTACCCAGCTGAATATGCTTTGCTCACTGTGTCTGCTGATTTAACTTGTAAAAACGAGGGAACATATAATAATGCTGCTTAAATGTGAAAGAGTAACACGTAAATAACTTGGGTGGTACAATGGCCCTGCCTAGAATATACAGTGGAAAGCTGCCTAGGGCTTTAGTGCTCAAAATGAAGTATTTATACTTGCTGCAGCACGTAATAGAACTTACTGGAGAAAAGGCTTGGTAAATTTTAGTCCAGATTGCTAAATTGGTTTTATCAATTGAAAATAGGCCAAATAGTTGTGACCTGAATAGCTCATGCAAGCCCAGTCTTGTCAGGTCTCAGAAGCTAAGCAGGGCTGACCCTGGCAAGTAATTGGAAGGGAGACCTCCAAGGAATACCAGAGCTCGGGACACAGAAGCAGACTATTAAGCCAACTCTCTGAAAAAGGCCAAAGCCCCCAGTAGGGGTCACCAGAAGTTGCCATGACTTCCAGGCATGCAAGCACGCGGACACACAAAAATACACACCCCCCCGAAAATAGGTCAAATGATGGAAGAGTAAAATAGGAATCCATCATGTTTTAAATTCAGACATGAACTGGCATTGTGCCCCTTTTTTTAAAAAAACAGACTGTTGAAAACTAGTTAAAAATAGAGAATTTCAGTCAAACTATTAAATTGCCATTTTACATCTTTGTTACATGTGCATTGTTGAAGATTCATCATCATGTTCGTTTAATTTTTTTTTACATTTTGTTGAAGATTCATCATGTTCGTTTAATTTTTTTTTACATTGTTTGCTCTAACGAACTGCCTGTGGAAAGGTGGAGGCCAACTATTTAAAATGAATAGTTCTTGGCATATTACCCAGTGTATATAGTAGTTAGCATGTTGGATTAGGTCTAAGAAGACCAGGATTCAAAACCCATCTTGCTTTGGAACTTCTTGGGTGACTTTAGACTAACAAAACCAGATTGGTAGTCAAGTCACCCTGCAACAAGACAAACTCAAGGAAGGGAACAACAGGACACCATTAGTTGTCACTTACAGCTCACAATTTAAACAACTTCATATCATCATTGACTTAATAGCCTCTAGTGGATAAGAATTTATCTCTTTCACAGGCCTTGGGTGGCAGGGCTTTGGTTGCGTAGACAGCCTTTCTCCACATTTAAAACAGCTTCTCACCAACTACAGTGGACCACCCAGCAAAGAAAGAAATTCAAGAACCAAACTATGCAACAGACCCAAATGGCAACTTTGTTCCCACATACGCTCAGATAGTACTATTAGAGTGTGCCATCATTTGCTAACAATGCTGTTCTTCTATCTATGTAAGACAAACATGTTATTTCCTAGTGAGAGAATCCATGAACACAAATCTGACATAAGAAATCACAGTATTATCTTCTTGGACATATTGTATAATACTCTAATGTGTTACTGCTGTTAATTTTCTTACATTTTTGACTGCTCAATTAGTATTTTATCCTACTTTTTAATACTTTTGTTTGTCTGCACCTCAAGAGAGAGAAGCTACAATGCCTGATCTCTCTCATCTCTCCTTATATATAATTGAATAGTGGGTGCCAAAGTTCTAATTCTAAAATGCACTCCCTTAGTGTATGGCTGATGGCACTGCTCCTCAGCATATATCGCCACCAATCAGAAGGCCATTATGTGTAACAACCTAATCTGTTCCAGTCCTTTATGCAGAGAATCATCACCTGAAAGACTGGTGGGATTTACACAGAGTTTCTCTGTGCCCCTACTTTTCCCTTCCCCCTCCCATTCTGTTGTTTTCCTTCTAAGAATGTGGAATGTGATTTTCTCTTCATAGCATCTGAAGAACTGAGTTCTAACTCAGAAAGGCTCATGATGAAATAAATTCTGTTAGTCTTTCAGGTGACACCAGACTTCTGTTTTATTATATTGACCTTAGACCAGTCAGTATCCCACAGCCTGACCAACCTCACAGCATTATTAGGAGAATAAAATGGAGGAAAGGAGAGCTGTGTATGCTGCTTTGAGTTCCTTGGATGTAGGATGGACAGGATAAAAATGCGCAAGAAATTGTTGTACAGAATTTATCTTGCAAAGCACATTACAGTATTAGTTGCCTTTTTCAGAAAACTGATTCAAGTTGAATTACATGTAATTATATTTCACAGGGAAACCAGTGGCTGTTACAAGTAATCGAGGATCAGGAAAAACATTACTTCGTCCAGGTGCAAACCCACAGCTGGAATGGCAATATTACCAGAATAAATTATTGAAAGGCAAAGCAGGTACAAATGTTCTGCAGCTTACTGAAATTGTGAAAAAAAAAAATTTAAATGGCTGTTGTGATATTGTAAATTAGTTTCACAATTCTATGTAGTGTAGTCAGATGAAAACTAAGGTTGAATATATTATTTTATTTCATGGTCTCACAATTATTGGATATAACTATGTCTAATAGTAAACTTCCTGGCTTCCTTGTGTATGATGAAAGCAACAAAACCGGGCCACACATAACAAGGTAGAAGCTTTCCATATTTGGAGAATTCCTCTCTTTGCAGAAATTTAATTTTCCAAAAGTTGGAGAACGCCCCTCACATGGCCTGTTGAGTTCTGAAAATGCTCCAAAAGACTCAGCGCATTGAAAGGAATGTCAGTTAAAGGAAAAAAGGTGGAGAGGAAGAGAAGTCAACTTGCCCAAGCCCCTTAAATTTCCTGTAAGGAGAAATAAGGAGGATCAAAATTGGTTCCCATCTACCTGCCATTCCTCATGGGAATTGAACCTTTCACTATATATAGTTGCTCCCCCCCCCCGACATAATTATTAAACAGAGGCCACAGCTTCCTGCCTAGGGATGGGCACAAACCTAAAAATTCTGGTTCTGTTCAGGGTGGTCCACTTCTTCCGCTTTGAACAGATGCACTGCGGACCCTTGTCACTCAGCCGTTAGGTTTAAATGTCCTGAACATCCAAACCAGACAGAAGTCCAGTAAATGTTCAGGGGCTCTGAACTGGGCCAAGTTCATTCCAAAATCTGGCTCATAAACCCGTTCATGCCCATCCCAATTCCTGACCCCTCAAAATATAATATGTATGTATTTATTTATTTATTCCATTTGTATCCCGCCCTTCCCGTGAACAGGCTCAGGGCGGCTTACAGTAATTGGTATGAGGTACCATAAAATTCACATAGAAACATTTAAATTTTTATTATTTAGTAGAATTCAGGGACTTGCCAAAGCTGTGTCTTGGAACACCACATGCTGGAAAAAAAATGGTAGGATGATGCTATTGCATTCATGCTTTACTTGTAGTTATCTTGGATGTATATGGCTGGCCACTGTTAGAATGCTTGAGTAGACGGACTTTTGTTCTGAGGCAGTCCGCATTCGCATGTATATGGCTGGCCACTGTTAGACTCAGAATGCTTGAGTAGATGGACTTTTGTTCTGAGGCAGTCCGCATTCTCTTGCTTTCTGTAAGGCATGTAGTCATGGTTTTTTACTATAGAATCTCCAGGATTTTGAGACCCCAGGGAACCACTCATCCTTTTTTCTTTTGTTACACTGAGACTTGTGGTACAAACCTGTGCAGAGTTACTCCAGTCTGAGCCTGTTAATTTCAGTAGCTCATATTGTAGTAGCTGTGCATAGGATTTCATTGTTGCTGTTGTTTTCCTCATTAAGGAAGTTCCCCATGCTGAAAGATGAATAGTTGCTGTATGGCACTGATCTAAGTCAATATTTTAAATTCCTCCCAAGCTTATTGCAGAGCTTTCTAAAGTTTGCTAACATTATTTAATTCCAAGGTTTTTAATCTAATCTTTATTAGAGTGAAAAGCAGGACTAATAGTATTCTTGCATAAAAATGAAATGGTTATTCAAAATGATTGGTGCATATTACATAGTGAAATGCTAGTATGGGATATTTGCACTAAAATAACTATTTCTGCATGCCACTTCTATACCACTTTAGAGCCTATGTTTGCTCCCAAAGCAGGTTGGAACAACTGGAATCAATCATGAAAAATGTAATATGAAATGTTAGTGGCAGATGGCAGACTCTGCTAACCCTGAAAGCTACTTATATTTGTTTTAAAAACTTAATCCACATTTCTCCTTCACAAAGGACCTAGAGTGGCTTATAATAAAAATTAAAACTGCAATTCCAAGTTGCTAAATATTAAATCCATAAAACAGAAACAAAATACAAACCAGCCTCAAAATAATTTCAGACACACTACAATAGCCTCTTAATTCCTCCTCTGTTGAAAACTATAAAGAAGGGTTTAATCTTAACAACCTCTGAAAGGCTGTTTCAGAGTGTCTGGACTGTTAAAGTAATGGCCAGCATTTGAGCTGTGTACAGATCTGCAAGTGGTGCCTGATAAAACACCTTGCTGAAATGAGCAGAGTTGCCACACAAGACACGGAAATCCTGGTCCCGGGCTCTTCTCCAGAAACAGCTGCAGATGTACTGGGGTTGTCCCTAATGGCAAATGTATCAGCACACAGAAGCAACCCTTGAGTTGATGCAGAGACTCTTCTGCCCCTGTTGTAATGAGATATTACACAATAGAATTCTGACAGTTATATATATATATCCTTTTAGAGATAAAAACCACTGTTTCTGTGTATTTTCCGTTCTGTGTATATATATATATAGATATAGTTATAAACTGTGTGTCAAATTAGGTATTTTTAAAAATTTATTTGGTTGGTGTTGGTAGTTTAATAGATACCACATTGGCTGTCATAAATACAGCACATTGTAGTATAAAAAGTAACATAATTGGAGGTTTAATTCCCTCAGAACAGATCCCTAACTCTGAGCCTATCTTTACTTTTGGAATTTTTAGAAAAGTTAGTATGTGCCACCACAAAACGATTGCTATGAGGATATTTTTGTATTTTTGTTTCTCTATGGGTAAGGAATCTACTATTAAAAATAAATATTTGTGCTTAAATTGGGTGGTGGATTCCCTCTCTCATAGATATTTCTTAAAATACATTTTCAGTTAAATGCTCGGGGGGGGAGAAACTGAAGGCTTCAGGTTTTGAAGTGGGACAAGAAAACATTCATGAATAGTTATTCAACTGAAATAAATTGTGGTAGGTGGCATTAGCCACCACTTGCAAGTCTGTCGGATCAGGGACTCTGAAGGAAGATTGAGTTGAAGCCAGTGCTGGGGAGTCCATATGTTTGGTTAGTATGAATTGTATTTTGTGGGAAAGAGAGAATGTTGTGGTGAAGGAATTTCAAGCAAGCACATGCCCCAAATGAATACAAAAAGGGCCAAACTCAGGCACCTCTTATCTCTTAAAATGAAACTAGTTCTCAGATTTTGTGGGAGGTGGCTGAAGCTTAGTTCTGCCCCCACCCCCATCTCTTTATCCTCGTCTATCACCTTGAGGCTAGGTGGAGAAGTGGGTGGAGTAGGGTGGAATTTTAGAGATTCAAAAGAGAAAGGGGGTGCAGAATGGGGAGCAAAGAAATGTGAAAGGTGACAAAGGAGTAGAAAAAGTAGGAGAGTAAATGGGGCTAAGGAGAACAAAGAAGCGAACTGGGAAAGGGAGTAAGGACAAAGGAGAACAAAGAAGAAGCGAACTGGGAAAGGGAGTAAGGAAGAAGTGTAGAAAGGGTCAGAAAGCAGGATAGCAGATAAGTAAGTCGGTGTCAGGAAACAGTTCAGCACTGGGCTTACTTAAATCGGGTATAAAATGTGCATTAGCTAGAACAGGGGTGTCAAACATGCGACCCGGGGGCCGGATCAGGCCCCCGGAGGACTTCTATGAGGCCCACAGTGGAACTGGCTGTCTTCTGCTTCTTCTTCCAGTTCGGCTGCTGCTGCATCGTTTATTTGCAGCTTACAGGTACATACCTGAACAGCATACTCAAGATTGCAACAGCACAGACATTTTGACGCAATAATTCAGAGCAAGAGGTGTCAGTTATCAGACACGGTTAAATAAACAAAGTATTGCAAGAGTGCTAATGTTTTAAGCATGTTTTTATTTTAAGTAAAAAAAAACCCTTTGTGTTTGTGTCCTTTATAAAGTTTATATCTCCGCTACCTGGCATTACATTTTATGACACACATGGCCCGGCCCAACAAGTTCTCATTTATGTCAGATCCAGCCCTCATAACAAATGAGTTTGACACCCCTGAGCTAGAATATGAGTTATGTGGTTGTATGGACTCTAGTAACAATATGCACAAGAGGTTCAAAGTCACTTCTAGTATTGAATGAGAAGTTGCCATAGTGCAGTGTGAGCTCCCCTGGCAATCTTTCAGGCATGCCCCCTCTTTTACATTTGGATCTCCTTCCATCTTTCTAAGTGGTACTGCCATACCTTAGTGCAGTCTTTTCTTAGTCATAGAATACTGTGAACGCTGTAATGTCAAATGCTAGTCGGACACAGTATGATCTAGCGGCTACAGTTCCTTAACAACTCCATGCTATCTCTTGCTTTCTTTACTCTGTTGCCAACCTTACTGACAAGAAGAATAAATTCTGCATACAAACCACAGAATATATGTTGTCTTAACTATGCAGGGACAGTGGAATAGTGTGTTTCTTGACATAGCAATGCTCACTGTGATGAGGCTTGAGAACCCCATCCTTGACCATTGTGTCTTTGGAAACAATTTTGTTGACACAGTATAGTGCTGCCTTGTAAAGCCCATTTCTTTTTATACATAAATAGAAGGCTCCCTCTGTCAAGAGCAGAGGAGAGAGGACTGCAAACACTGCATGTGTATTTGTGTTTCAGTTACCATAACAGAGAATGCAAAAGCTCTGCTACATATGAGAACCACCTCTGCTAAATCATGCCATTTGCACCTTACCTTGTCAGGCTTCTTGACATAACCCATACAATTTTAAACTTTTAGTCATTTTACTGTTAAGTAGTTAAATCTTTTCCATCTTGTACCCAACTTGGTGCATGATTTTTAGCTTGTTTATTTTCCTAGTAATCTTGGTCTGTATTTTTTAAGCCTTTTGACTGGTAGTTTATTTGATCAAGAAACGCAAAACAGTAGCTGACTTCTTGTCTTCTGGAGAGAAGAAAACATTGAAACTTCCTGTCATTCTAATACTTGAATAAAGGGTGACTGAGTTTTATAGGATTCTGCAAAAATAAAGTACTTTCCAGCATGAATTGTCAGCATAACTATAGGTTTCATGTAAATAATACAATGTGAGGAATTTTGAAACAAAATCTTCAGAGATACATGCATATATTCAAGTGTGTGAATCTGTATTAAACAGCAGCCAACAGTATGTTATAGTAATGATATAGAAACTTGGAGTGTGTAGTTGTGATAGTGAACAGAATCTAACCGGGTTTTGATACATATTAATAACCATATTGTAATACGGAAAAACCTCCTTAGTTATCTCATTTTCCATATTGTTCTCTGCTCTTGCCTTCTTTTTGACCTGCTAGACACAGTTGTTTCAGTGGATCTGTGGGGCTCTTAGTTTGTCCAGATATAGGCACCAACAACTTCAGCTATCTTCTTTTGCAAATCGTTCACTTACTGTCTTCCACTGGGCAAATTTTAGGAGCTGTTGAATCTTGGATCTCTTACAATATCAGTCTTTAATTTTTATTCATACACAGTTGTGTTACTTTAAACATTCGCTGTCATTCTCATTCCATATCTCCATTTTGAAGCATTTGCTTAAGAACAGGTAATTACTATTCTACTGAGAGAGCTTCTTTGCCCAAAGAGATTATACAAATGGGTTAGGGTCTCTTCTCATTTGCCAGGATTCTCAAAATATGAATATTTTTAGCTTTCCTTTCCCTCAACCCTGGTGTCTTCAATTTTCATTCTAAAGAGCAACATTTTTTAAATCATCGCCTTAGATACAAATTTATTCTCAGCGATTTCTTTTTCACAGACTTGGGTCCTGGCCTCTGCTTTCTCCATCCGTTGCTCCACATTCACCATGCGCCTGTCTATTTTCTCAACTTTTGATGAGAGGTTCTCTACCTTGCCTTCCAGTGAGGACAGTGTGTCTTGCATTGCTCTGAATTCACATGAAGTGACTGCATCATCTTATGGGGGGATCTGCTGTGCTGCACTATGAAGGAGCCCATCGAACTCATCAACGTAGACAATATGACAACATCAGGGCAGAGGAAGAAATGGACTGAAGACATGATTCTTGTTAATTTTTTGTTGGGGCCTTACTTGCTCTAACTTCCATTATGAGTTGTGTTGGGTAACTTCAGTGAGCCCATTAACGATAACTGAACTATTGTGAAACAACGGCTCAAGTCCATGTTCTGCTTCACATTTCTGTCATCCACGGCATTCTTTGATCATATTCATGTGAAGACTGCATCCTAACTTAAAATTATTCTGCAATGTGGTAGATAATCTGCCACACTTTAGAGTGCACCATTGCAAAGGCACAGTTTTTCATGATATAGTGTATTGAGCAGTGAAAAACAGCATCCAGGTTGCTATACTCTTCTGGCAAAGGAAGCATTAGAATGTTAGGGTAGGTCTCTAACTGGTAGTGTTTTTTGTTTTGGGATATACTTGCACCCATTAGATTTTTCTAAATATTTTAATGAGTCTGTAATATTTCTAACAGTGTTCATATATCAATAATATGTATAGCATAAGAATCTTCATAGAACAGAAAAATTGGTTTCATACTCTCTATTTTATTTATTTAGGGACTTTATATGCCACCTCTCCTACCCTGTACCATTTATTTTTGCATAGTTCAGTACTGATGTAATCTGTAGAGAAAATCACACAATTGCTTTATTATTTTCAGTAATGCTTGGTTTACTTTTCTTTGGTTCCCCCAGAGAAGAAATTTGTGGTGAACTAAACCCTAGGCAAGGTCCAGTAAGTCTGTGGCTCCCTGGCCAACATGGATATAGCAAGCTTAAAATTAAAGTATGCTGTTTTCTGGGTTGGTTAAGCAACCAAACAGCTTCTGGATGTTTACACAAGGCCAGGTTCAGCTTACAGTATCACTAAAATGAACGTGTGAAAAAGAAGTAATTCTATGGATCCATCTTAAGTAGCAATTATAGGACACTGAAGAAGGCCATTTTGCTTATATGTTTTTGTATGTACACAACATCATTCACTCTCAAACACACAGTTTCAGCTGCCCAAGATTTCGATTTTCTCGTTTCTTGTATGTGGTTAATAAGACCAATTTTTAAACTCATTAAGTTGTGATCTATATTCCAACCTTGTAGTGCATCTGTTTTGTACTGACATTGGATATTAGCTTACAAATTGGTTTAGAGTATTATATTCTACAGTTTTTAAAGGCATGTATTTATGGGAAGTAACATTTACAGTGTTTTTCAGGTACTGTGTTATACAAACGTAAAACATATTATGATTATATTTCAAATTCTTAAATAAAGTAAATTACTATATTAGTAAAAGTAACATTGATTAATAACAAATCATTAATGAAATCTAGTTTTAACTGTTAAAAATGTAACTGTTTTTTTCAAGCAGAAACTGGTAAATTGGACTTGTCCACTGAGCATAAGCTGGAATCTCCCCAAGTAAATGGAAATGAATTTGATATATCTGTCTCATCGATGGCTGAAATTGCATCTTGCAGCTATGAGGCTAGGTAAGAGGAAACTGTGTAATTTATATGTTTCACCTTCACCCGCTTCCTTATATGGGGGTTTAATCCCACACCTGTTAGAGTAGGCAAGGAGGAAGAGGAATTTCTCCTTGTTGCTGCAGCTCTTCAGGCAGCAGATTGCCAATCTGGTGCTCAAGGAGTCCTAGCACTGCATGGCTTGAATCTTTTGTTAGCTTTCTGAAAGCCAAGAATGTACTTAGAAATTGTTTCAGATCAACAAAAGATCTAATTTGTAGGGACTGTTTGCACTGGCAGTTGCACACGAAACATTTCAAACTAGAATGGTAACTTTTTACAGCAATCTAGGGAATTTGAGAATAGCCAAGAGGCAGTTACATCATGGAACTTCATCCTAACAGGACTCATTTTGCGTATATAAATGTTGTTGTGAACAAACATTGAAATAAAATTACAGACGCCATAACCATTATGACTAGCAAGGTCAGTGAAAAACTACTGGTCTCAAACAGTCATGCTTATCTTTATGATCTAACAATGGTTGAACTCAAAATGTTCTTGGTTGTCTCTTGAGCAGGAACTTTAAAGACTTTTTGGGCAAGTAATAAAAAAATGTATTAACTTCATAATTGATGCTTTGGATTTTAAATTAAGGATTTTTCTTTTTTCCTTTTTATAGACAAGCTGGTATAAAAAATGGAATGTTTTTTGGGCAAGCAAAACGATTGTGTCCAGATCTTCAAGCAGTATCCTATGACTTTCAATCATATAAAGCAGTTGCACAGACAATGTATGAAATTCTGGCAAGGTAAAATAAATTATCTTTTAAAATATGTTGTAGAATAATATTGGGGAATCACCTTGTTTCTTTAGTATCTCATATTTCATTGGAAAATACTGCAATTTAAGCATTGGACCCACACTAAATTTTTCGCTCAACAGAAGGGGTGTTGTAATTTCCACCTGTTTCCCTTTTCTCCTGCTGACACACAATTTGCGTCTCATGCTGTTCCTGAGAGTTCTCTGGTTCTCCAGGAGTAGTATTTTGGGGATATCAGTGGGCTGCAGGGGAGGCAGGAAGGTGTTCTGTCTCACTTACAGATTGCCTTGCATGAGCAGAAACTTTAGTCTATATCCAAGCCTAGGAGTAACTTTCAAGTTTTCTTTATGATATAATATTTTTTACTACATAATGTTGGGTGTGGAACCTGCCAGAGGGTGAGAGGGGAAATACTTTGCATTTGCTTTTCTCAACACTACCCACCCCATGCTTCACAGCACAGTAATTTTCAACATTAGAACACTTTTCAGAGGTTAGTTAAGATATGACACTGGTGGAGTACAATCCAAAGTGAGAGTAAAACTTGCACTGTGTACTTGAAGGTATTTTTCTTTTGGAACCCTACTAATATTAGGTATTCCCCTTGCTGTGTAAATCAGAGACTGCCCAAGAAGTGTTGTTCAGTTTTTGGAGTCAAACTAGACATGATATGGCAGCTGCATTTTAATATATATATCTGCCTTGTTCACATATAGAAGTGGCAATCAGGCCAGAAAATCTAGTGTTTATACCAAAAGGAAAGCTTGGACAAGAAAAGTGGAACCCTTTCTACACTTGACCAGTTTAAGTGCTTTTGAAGAAGTGATGGGTGACTCAAAAAAAGCTTATACCCTGCCACAAATTTTGTAGTCTTTAAGGTGCTACTAGACTCTTGCTTTTTTCTACTGCTACAGACAGACTAACATGGCTACCCATCTTGATTTTTCTCCCAAGGTTACCTTTGATAACAGAATTGGTATAGGGAGAAAAGTGCTTCAAGCAAAGGAACATGGGGAAATTGGGTGGGGCTGATTCAATTCCCCTCCTTCATACTCAGTTTTTTGATGCAAAAAGTAGACTCATCTAATGCTTGCTTTATATATGAACAAAGCAAACTCATGGAGTCCCCTTCATTAAAAGTTTGTCCCTAGGATACCAGATTTATTTTGATATAAACTGTAATCTCTGCTTCTTAAGGTTTTAAAATGTCTCTCTCTTATTTGATGTGGTAGTAAATGCTTGTCAGTAAAATAAATTTCCTTGTTCATTATCATACATTTAAATCATGCAAGGTTGTAAGAAAAAATAATAATGGAACTGGTTCTGCAGTAGGAAAGCTTTACTTGCTACATGTTTGTTTTTAACAGATGGTGAGCTGTTGCTGCTGTTTCACTCCCTTTACTTTGTGTTGATAGCTATACTCATAACATTGAAGCGGTCAGTTGTGATGAAGCATTAGTAGATATCACTGAAATCCTTGCAGAGACTGGACTATCCCCTGAAGAAATAGCCAATGCTATCCGTACTGAAATAAAAAACAAGACCAAATGTTCTGCTTCCATTGGAATAGGTTAGTATATTATCCTAGAATACTTATGCTTATGTAAAGTAACTCAATGTGAATTCATCACCTCAATTTATATCCAGATATATATATATCTGGGAACCTAGAAGATGAGTAAAACTTATTAGACTGCTGCATGGGCTAGAACCCCAACATTGCCTTAGGTGCACTTGGTGGGAAGCGGTTAAGCTTTCCAAAAGCCAAAGTTAAATGTACAGCCCTAGTGTCAGTGGAACTTAACAAGTGTTAGAGGCGCCTGTTGCAAATGTAGAATTTGACAGTAGTATGTACATTCACCTTAGTTGGTGGCAACATTGACCAGCATAAAATTGTGTGAAAAAATGTAAAATAAGCTATGGCTCTGAAAAATACTTGCTCAGTGTCACAGTAGTCATCAGCACTGTTCCCTCTAAGCTGAGTTAGTGTGAGCTAACTCACAGTTTCTTAGCCTCCGGCTCACACATTTTTGTCTTTGCTTTGGAGCCATCCTTCCTGAGCTAACTAATTTATGCATAGCCAAGTCGCTTGCTCACAACTTTAATGCTAGTAGCTCACAAAGTAGAATTTTTGCTCACAAGACACCACAGCTTGGAGCATTGGCCACCAGTAATAAAACTGATGTTCACTTACAACAGTGGGTTTCTCAAGAGAACTTGTTCTTTCTTGTATGACCTTAAGCCTATGAACATACATCTCTACAAGAGCTACCTTCTGGGACTGTGGGGAGACAGAGATGCATAGTCTTCCAGAGTATTCCAGTGTTGCTGTTTAACAACAATGTAGATTTCTTCCATCATATCTATATGCTATTAGCCACCTGTGGCTAAATCCACGGATTGGGGCCACATGGAGGCTAAGTAAGTCTTTGTGCACACGTAGGGGACTCCCCATGTGCAGAAAAACCTGAAATATTTTTTTAAAATACACGGGGGAGTTAAATTTCCGGAAAAGTAATACTTATGTCCAGCATTTGTTGGAGGAGACTGTGAGCCTAGGAATCACATTGGGCTTTCTGGCGACAGTGGCGCAGGCCGGGAGCTAGGTTGAGCCTTGCAGTAGTGGCTGTGCAGCCTGGCAGCAGTGGCAGCACAGCCCAGGAGGCACACTGAGACTGGTGGCAGCAGTGCAGCCCAGGCTGCATAGCCCAAAGCCACACTGTGCCCACAGTAAGAAAGTGGTGGGAATTCCCCTTCCCCGGTGATTATTGCAGGCCTAGCCAAAGCAGAGCATGCCAGCAGCCTCTCTGGCCCGGGCACCAAAGTGGTAGATGCTAACAGCCTGGGATCAGAACAAGAGGACTCTGGCAGCCACTGAGAGCCCAGGGGTAGCGGAAGATACCAGCTGCTGTGCTCAGTTTTAGATGGTGGGGCCTGGCACCTCACTGGCTCAGCAGTGGGAGGGGGAATATGGGATTCACACACCCCTCACAGGCCTTCCTCTTGTTTCACTATATTTGTCACATTTATAGGTTCAAACATTTTATTGGCTAGAATGGCAACTCGCAGTGCAAAGCCTGATGGACAGTACCACTTAAAGCCAGAAGAAGTGGATGATTTTATTCGAAGTCAACTAATAATTCATCTTCCAGGTGAATTTTTGTTAGCATACTGTCTTCTGCTTTTGTACAGGACTTATCAAATTTACCTTTACTCCTCTAACATATGTCGTTTATAGTCAAGACGGGAATAATTTCTATAGACATTCTCCAAAACTTGTAGGTTGTGTATTTGAAGGGCTGTCATATAGAAGATGGTAAAAGAGTTGTTTTCTGTTGCACCAGACGATCATACCAGAACCAACTAAATTAAATTTAGAAATTAAATCAAAATTAAATTAAATTTAGAAATTAAATCAGAAGAGTTTTCAGCTAAACATTAGGAAGCACTTACTGACAGAGCAGTTCCTCAGTGGAACAGGCTTCCTCAGGAGGTGGTGGGCTTTCCTTTTTTGGAGGTCTTCAAACAGAGGCTAGATGGCTATCTGACAGCAATGCTGATTCTGTGAACTTAGGCAGATCATGAGAGGAAGGGCAGGAAGGGTTGCATCAGTGCTTAGTTCTTACACACCCATAGAATTGCTGATTGCCACTTTGGGGTCAGGAAACAATTTTTCTCCAGGCCAGTTTGGCTGGAGATCCTGGAGGTTTTTTCTCATCTTCTGGGCGTGGAACAGCGGTCACTGAGGGTGTGGAGGGGGAGGTATTTGTAAATTTCCTGCCTTGTGCAGGGGGTTGGACTAGATGACCCTGGAGGTCCCTTCCAATTCTCTGATTCTGTGAGTACATAACCAAAGACATTTTTCCTGAATTAATTCTGTATTTTTAGAACATACTATGTCAAAAGACTATAATTGTACCAAAAGTGCTATAACAATAATTATATTTCTTATAATTCAGAATTACCTTAGAGTCCTGTGATATGAGGAGTTTTTGTAGTTTACAGTTGGTTACTGAGTGTGAAATACCTGAATTGCCTTGCAAACAGTCCAGGAAGTCATCTATATAAAAATGCCCATTGGTTTTAAATACTAACAGAGCTTTCAAGGTTACTGACAATTCTCAGTTGTAGATCTCAAGAACAACATTTTATTTTTTTTGTCAGGAGTTGGCAGGACAATGGAATCTAAGCTGTCGGCACTGGGTATAAAAACTTGTGGAGACCTTCAGTGCATCACTATGTCGAAGCTCCAGCAAGAATTTGGTCCTAAAACAGGACAAATGCTCTTCAGATTCTGCCGTGGTCTGGATGATAGGCCAGTTCAAAGAGAGAAAGAGAGGAAATCTGTTTCAGCAGAGATCAACTATGGCATAAGATTTACCCAGGTAAAAACAAAAAAAATGAAAATTGCAGTACTCATCTGTAGTTTTCCAGTTTTTTTCTGTTAATAAAACAGTATGTGATCCATATTGATATCAGTATTAGTATTGAATTAATATTGAAAATATAAAATACTTTGTATGTAGTACTGAAGTTGATAAAGCAACATAACTGGGCTAAAACAAAAACAATGAATTTTAACTGGGATAAATGTAAAGTTCTATATTTAGGTAGGAATCATCAAATGCATAATTATAGGATGGGGATGATTTGTCTTGGCAGTAGTATGTGCGAAAAGAATCTAGGGGTCTTAGTAGACCATACACTGAACATGAGTCAGCAGCTGAACATGAGTCAGCAGCTAAAAAGTCAAATGTAATTTTGGGGTCTATCAACAGAAGTATAGTGTCCAGTTCACACAAAGTGATGGTATCACTTTACTCTGCTCTGGTTAGGCCTCACTAGAGTATTGTGTTCGGTTTTGGGCACCACAGTTTAAGATGGATATAGACAAGCTGGAACGTGTCCAAAGGAGGGCAGCAAAGATGGCGAGGGGTCTGGAGACCAAGTCCTGTGAGGAAAGATTGAAGGAGCTGGGTATGTTTAGCCTGGAGAGGAGACGACTGAGTGGTGATAGGATAACCATCTTCAAGTACTTAAAGAGCTGTCTTATAGAGGATGGTGCAGAGTTGTTTTATGATGGGTTGAAATTAAATCAGAAAAGTTTTCAGCTAAATATTAGGAAGAACTTCCTGACAGAGTGGTTCCTCAGTGGAACAGGCTTCCTTGGGAGGTTGGGGGTGCTCTCCTTTTTTGAAGGGCTTCAAACAGAGGCTAGATGGCTATCTGACAGCAATGCTGATTCTGCTGAATTTTGACAGATCATGAGAGGGAGGGCAGGAAGGGTTGTATCAGTGCTTAGTTCTTGTGGCCCTTTCTTACACACCCATGGAAATGCTGATTTCCACTTTGGGGTCAGGAAGCAATTTTTCTCCAGGCCAGTTTGGCCAGGGATACTGGAAGTTTGGGGGGGTTTGCTATCTTCTGGGCACTAGGGATGTGGAGGTGAGGTATTTGTGAGTTTCCTGCATTGTGCAGGGGGTTGGACTAGATGACCCTGGAGATCCCTTCCAACTCTATGATTCTATGAAAAATAAGGCAGGTAGTGGTTAAGAGCAGCAGACTCTAATCTGGATAACTGGGTTTGATTCCTCACTCCTCCACTTGCAGTTGCTGGGTTACGTTGGGTCTGTCACAAGTTCTCTCAGAGCTGTTCTCTCAAGAGCAGGTTCTCTCAAGAGCTCTCTCAGCCCACCTACCTCACAGGGTGTCTGTTGTGGGGAAGGGAAGGGAAGGCGATTGGAAGCCACTCTGAGACTCCTTTGGGTAGTGAAGGGCGGGGTATAAATCCAATCTCTTCTTCCTAATTACAGAACCAAAACATTCTTCAAGTGTTAGAAATATATCCCTTGTATTGAAATACTCTCTACTGGCAGCATTATTCAAGCAGCACTACAACTTCGTAATATGAGAAATGCTTCATTTATTTTTTTAAAAGGTGCCATTATTCATATGTAAGGAATTAAGACATTAAAACATACCCAATTGCTCTTTTTATAGAAAATCCCAAATTTTCAGTATGTTCTTATCTGGTGCATTTCAAAGAAGGATTGCCAGCTTTTCCTTTTACATGACTCTGGTCTTGGGTCTTGAACAAGCAGTTGCTCTACAGAAATTGCATGACACTGTTTATTGCAACAGTATGAGAATCTTCATCTATTTTTTGCAGATCAAGTAGTGAAAAGACACTTCCTTCTGATTGGTTGGCAACCAGAGCTCAAAGCACTGTGCTAAATCAGAGAAAAGGCTTTGTGCTCACTGCAATCATGACTCTGTAGTTTTTTAGTTAATTTAATCCTGTCACTAAAACCTAGTGTTTATCAATATATTTTCAGTGGTTCAAGTTTAAGTTTAATCCCTCCAGTTGGAACAAATTTTTTTTGGCATCAAGTCAAGCTGACTTCTGGCAACCCCTAGTGGGGCTTGAAGGCAAGGGCCTTTCAGAAGTGGCTTGTCATCACCTACCTCTGCATTGGTGACCCTAGTATATTCCTTGGAGGGTCTTCCATCCAAATATTAGCTAGGGCCAGCCCTGCTTAGCTTCCAAGATCTGACAAGATCAGGCTTGCTTGGGTTATCCATGTCAGGGCCAGTTAGAATCAATTTTAAGTCTGCCTAAATCACAGGTCCGTGGAATGATGTCTGTAAGTGGTGATGATGGTTGCTGGGGCCTGCATGTCTTATGAGCCTTCTCCAACCCTGAAGGGAAGTCTGGAGAGCAGGCAACTAACTGCCACTCCCTCCTACTCCAGGCTCTTTCCACGCTACTTTCCCGTGTTCAGCCTCTTCCCCTGCCCACTCCTGTGGCAAGCTTGGCACCCACACAGTTTGCAGGGCAGTTGCATCGTCTTGCCTGGCATTGCATCAGCTTGACCCCCATGAAGTATGGAGAGAAGAAGAGCAGGCAACTGCCAGCTACTTCTGTCACTAGGCTCTTCTCCCACTGACTTCTCCATCTGGCCTCTTCCCTTGCAGGTTCCTCCACTGTCATGTTTTGCCACCCACCCAGCTCATAGGACAATTGCAGCTCCTTGCATGCCTGAGCATGCAGCAACTCATCACCTGGCATGCTGTTGCCCTGCCTACACCCACAATATAAAAGCGGAAGGGAGAAGCCAGGCAGCTCTCCACCCACCTAGTTTGTAGGATGGTGGTGGCCTGGCTCCTTCTTCCCACCTGGCTCAGGTGTGGAAACTCGGGACATACCCACATTCATGTGCCCCTAGGTACGTGTCTGCTATGGCAGCTGAACTCATTGTGCACCCACCCATGTCAGAACAGCTTATAGCACGCCCAGGTTTTTGCATGCCAGCCTCAGCAGCTCTGTGCATGCCTGTCCCAGCTTACCACCTCCTCTCTGTTTCTCTGGCTGAGTGCACGAGTTCATGATGATGTGCTAGCTGCCTGATTTCTGTTGTGGCCATGGTGGCCTTCTCCAGATCTCTGCCACCTGACTACCACCTTAGTATGTCTGGGGACTTGGAGGAGCCTTGGGAAAAAAGGTGCTCGTACACAGTACTGGTGTATACCATCACAAAAATAGCCCTGCGTGTAAATATGTTTTTGAAAGTTGATATAATGTGGCTAAAAGAAGAACTGGGAAGCCTTCAGTTCAAACCTTGTCTCAGCCATGAATTCATCAGCTGCAGGCAAGTCTTTATGTTTTAGCTTTAGCTCCCCATATGTAGTGTAGATATAATATTTATGTACCTTACTCTTCCTTGTTAAGGGCTCTTAAGATAAAGTATGGAAGAAGCTAGAGTCACTATATAAATGTTAAGATTATGTTGCAGTAAGTCACTTGTGCAGTGTAGAGACATACCAGTCAATAAGACAAGTTGTAAGATTTTCTGCTGTGGCATTAGATCAGATCTTCATCGTGGTCTCTGTTCAGTCCCACACATGGGTTGGGCACCTGCTCATGACCTCATTGGGGAAAGTTCCAGAGCTTGCCTCAGAATCATTTTGGCAGGCTCTCTTCCCACTTTGAGGAGCAGGCACGAGAACCGCTTCCCACTCAGTTGCCCTTTCCTCTCCCTCTCTCAAGCAGCCAGGAATCTGCAAAAACTCCAAGCGCTTCCCCACACTCCCAGACCAGTTCTCCCACCAAAATCCTCAGCTGAATCCTCTCAGCTGAAAGTAAGTAAAAAACCACTCACCCCTATGTCTCCTGCTCCTGCTCAGAGCTCAGCTGGGTCCCGACGAAACTGAGCAGCTCGTCTAAAGGCCATACTTTTGGAGGCTGCGCTTTGCCCTACCATGTCTTCCGCAGCTTCACACTTTTATTCTGCCCCAAGGCAGTCATCGGCTATGGGGACCCCCCAAAAGGCCGCAAAAAAATCACATAAGACTAAGAAGCCTGAAGGTACCAAGCCGTCGATATCGGAAGTAAAACAGACTTCGAGCTCGGTGCCTAAACTCGATCCCGTTATCATCTCTGGCTTATCAAGCTCTACTCCTGTGTTGGGTCTGTCAACATCGATCCCTTGCAAGTCCACGGACGAACCTCTGATCCTCACTCCTATGCAGTCTACCCAGACTGATCATGTAACACCAGGACAGTGGAAGGCTTCCTCACCTCTAAAGTCACAGGTATCTGCCTTAGTTGACTCCCAACCGCCTATCCACATTTTGGATGACAGGGAGGACTTCCTGTGCAGTCGATCTCCTTCTCCTCGATCACGATATAATCGCAGGGATATTAAATATTACCGCTCCGCCTCTTGCTCTCGATCCTATAGAGTCCTGGTCCCTAGACCATAGACGTTATGGTAATGATTTCATGTTTGATGTGTGTATGTTTCTTTAAATGTTTAGTTT